CATCTGTGCTGTCGCCGAACGTTACGGCGACCATGTAGCTGAGATCACTGCCATCTTGGTCTATGGCTACGCTGTTTTCCTGGCTGGGGTTGTTCGAATTGACGATGTTGTAGGCGTTTTGGCGGGAGCGTAATGAGGGTGTGCGTATGCGACGGAGGGGAAGCGTTATGGAGCGCGTGGTTCCTGCTTGTGAGGACGGTGGCGAGGAGGTTCGGTGCGAGTGCGTTGATGTGGAGGCTGTCTTGCCGGAGGTATAGTGGTAAGGGTAGAATGCTGTCGCTGTAGGTAGGATTGCTGCCGTTGAGAGCGCGAGCCAGGTCGGCAGGTAGGTGTGCATGGTGTTGTGACGTCGGTATCTAGAGTCTGAGCTCTTCAGTCCTTTCGCCTTTCCAATTGCTGTGTGACGTCTTCTCGAGGAATCGTGGTATCAAAGTCGCTTTCCAGTGTTCCAAATGCGATGTTGTTAACGCGTCTCGTTCGCCTTCAGCCGTGAACGCATCCAATCTAACCCGATCGCCAGAAACGAACGTAAATAACAAGGCGCAGTAAACGTATACACAAGAAGAAGAAAAGATAACGACTACGCAATACCCGCCTGAACGAATGGCACCTAGGTAGGACGTGCGGCTGAAAAGAAGGACAATGCGGGTATGATCATCCAAAAGGCACAAGTAGGTAAACAGTCCCTCAAGCTTTCCAAACGCCACAGAAAACCCAAGTTATCGTAAATAACAAGAAGAAGACGATGAGAAACGTAAAGCAGTTCAGACGAAAGAAAGCACCAACGCCATCGCGCCATGCACCGCGCAAGCCTCACCCAACATGACGTCCTTGGCTCTCTCTCCGTCCCTATCACGATATGGATCCATCGGACGCGCAACCCGGCTAGTTGAGAAATGTGGGGCGCGCTAACGTCCATCGTGTTTACCCCTGGAACCGACGTTCGTTTGAAACAGCGAGGTCATGTCTGACAGGACCAATGACAGCTGCATGATGCAGCAATCTGCATCGGTTGTCTGGCATCTGGCATCTTCCTCGCTGGGGGCGAGGATGGGTTCAAGGCTTTGATTTGCTGGTTGGCAGAGCTGATGTAGACGATCTTAGGAAGGGAAGGTGGGCTTGGCGTAATGCGATGGGCGACGGAGAGGCCGATGGGGGACGATCGGTTTGGGAGTGGAGTGTTTTGATTATGCAATGGTCTAGGACGAGGGCAAAGTCTTGTTAGCACTGCGATTGACAGAACTTGAGAAGGTGTCTATGACTGGTTCATTCAAATGGTTCTACGAGATCTGGTTGCGAAAGTTTTGACATCTACTATTTCGCCCCCGCCTGAATCATCTCTGGCGCTTTCTTGACACCCACCACCTTCTTTGCCTCCATAATCTCCAGCCTGCTGAGACCCATACCGCTCAGGTATTCGTTGAAGCTGCCAAGAACCTTCTCAAGACCTTGTCTGAGACATTCTCTGGCTTCATCTACTTCAGGCACCTTCCTCCTCTCCGCTTCTGGCTTGCCGTTCGTCTCCTTGTCGCTCCAGTGTATAGGAGCTGTGTCCATGTACTCATCGATCTTCTTCAGCGCAATAGTGAATATGCGCACTATGCTTGGTATTCCTTGGTGAAAGCGTCCTAAGCTGTCTTCCGCAAGAGAAAACACTGCAAGGTTTGCTAGTGCAGTCGCGGCATTGCAGACTTGGGAAAGTTGAGAGTAAGGTGCGCCGAGGACGACAATATTCGATGTGCGTTGGAAGGAATGCTGGAACAATAAGCCGACCGGGGAAGAAACAAGCTTGTTGTAATAAGTCGTGAAGAACGACTCGGCTTCCCGGGCACCTTCTTGGGCCTTCTTCATTCCTTTGTTGATGGCTTCCCGACTGTATGCTTGCTGTGCGTTTCCTGGAGCGCTGTGTGACTTTGCAATACTGGCGGTTGCTGCTTCGACATGTTCCCACCTGGTACTTGGTTGTGGTGGCGCAGCAGCAATCGGCTTGTCGTCCTTTAGCGGTTGTGCGATACGAGGAACCAGATTGATAGGCCCGGTTGGCTTGTCTTGACCTGATGCGTCGCTGGGCTGGTAGGCTGGATCGAGACCAGCACTGACACGTTCGATAAGCCACTTGAGCTGTCCCAGACAGATATCCGTAAGTTGTTGATGTGTCGGAGCCTTCTTACGATCCATCTCGCTGTAGATAGTCTTGCGGCGCTCGGGAAAGGCGTCGGTGATGAGGGCTAGCTCCCAGAAAGCAATGGCCTGAATTAGTTAGCAGTGAACGTAGTAATAGTATCACTTCCTCTTACCTTGACAGTATCCTTCTTCGACTTGAGTCCGTTCAAAAGGGATCCATTGGGGTCGGTAGAGTCGTTGGTGATGGGCACATCGTTCTTCAAGGGCTCCTGTGCGAGGTACACATCGAAGGTCTTGTTGACAAACTCCCAGAGCACAACGAGAAGCGTTCCTTCTGTGACGAACATGAAGCACAGAGGAAGGAATGGAGCAAGTCCTGTAGGTGTGGAAGTCTTGGACAAGCTCCAGAGGTATCGACTGAAGCTGTAGTAGTAGCTCCAGATCAGGTTTCGGGTTCCGAGGTAGTAAAGGCAGAAACCGGCAGCTGCAACGACCGAAGCCAAGAAGGTCGAATGTGTTGCAATGCCCTTGAGCGATCTCGTAAGAACATGTCTGGGCTTGGGACCCCGTCGTGCCGGTGTGGAAGTGGTCGCGTCACCCCGCTCCTTCTTAGGCTTCATCGCCTGCAACTCAATCTTGTCGTAGTCCCTCCACAAGTGTACCCCCGATTGTGCTGCTGATAGTAGGTAGAAGAGATAGCGCAGGTAGAGCGGCCTCTCGTTCAGCCGGAATCGCTCGTGCATGCGGCCGGCCTCGATGAAGTTGAGCCTGGCTTGAGTGCCCCGCGACCAGATATAAGTTTCGACAAACAGCATCGCGGAGAAAGCGTACGCGACAAGCGTGATCAGCGTCGCCGGACGGAAGAAGTATTTCTTGAACGTCTCGAATCGGGTCTCTGTTTGGCGGCGGCCAACATGCCACTGTGCGACGCGAAGGACGTAGATGGAAAGGGCGGAGAGAAATATGAGGAGGGTCCGAATGCCAGTGAGGCCTAGAGGAAACCACAGCCATAGCACTGTGCTTGTTAATAGGTGTGTATGGGTTTCATTCAGGATTTCTCACTGTTGTCCCATTCTCCCATCCAGCATGCGATCGCATAGCATAGCAGCAGCGTGTATCGACTGGCCTTGTTGAATCTTCGGTGCAGAGCAGGCGTCAGGTAGTCTCTGTACGGGCGCACTTGCGTTCCCAGCGGTGCGAGCGCCATGTTTGCGACAGTTCGGGGCAGAGAGAGCGTATGAGTGAGGAACTGGCTATATCATAGCAAAGAAACAGAAGGATGGCGTCGCGCCAAGAGTAATTCGAACGCGCTGATGCGGCAGTCTGATGTACTGCAGCAGTGAAAGCTGCCCGACTTTGTCAAACAAACATTGTTGATCGGCGCAGCTACCACTTCGTCGCCGACAGCTGCACGCTTACCTAAGGGATCCGCTTGTGCCTTGAGCCATGTGCCCTAGCCGCGGTCCTTCGTCATCGCCGCAGGAACCACCGAGCACCAACCTCCAGGTAGCCACGATTGGACTTGCGTACTAGGTTGCAACAACCCCACACACGATCGCATAGCTCCAAACATCGTCCAGACACTCTTCTAGAAGATCATCGAGTGCCGCTTCCCTTATCCGGCACCATGTCTTTCCAACGCTCCAGCGCCCTCGAATCGCAACCCACGACATGGCGAAGGGACGACGATCCGTCATACGCCGATGACCCAGAGTTCCGCGACTTCGCCGACAAGCTTTCCGACGACCTCTTCGCCCTGACCCGCAACGTCGCCCGCCTGTCGCAAGAGACGGGCAAGCTAGGGACCAAGCACGAGACCGCTCGTGTGCGCGAGCGCGTGAAGACGACCGTCGAAGAGACATCGGAGAAGTTCAAAGAGCTTGGAGAGGGACTGAAGAAGATCACCACCTGGCCCGATGTTGGGGTATGGATACCTCGTTCTTGAGATGGAAGCCGGTAGCTAACAGACCACAGCCCTCGCAGAAGTTCACGCAATCGAAGCTCCAGCGCGAATTCAAAGCAACACTCACCGAGTTCCAACACCTCCAGAAGCAAGCCCTAGAGAAAGAGAAGCAGTCGGCACAGGCGGCACGCACAGCCCTGCAAGACGTATCATCGCCAAGCGAAGAGCGGGGAGGAGACTTTGGGCAACAACAAGAGCAGGAGCAGCTGCGCTTGGCAAACCAGGATGAGGTCGACTTCCAAGAGTCGATGATCATCGAGCGCGAGTCTGAGATCCGCAACATCGAGCAGTCGGTTGGGGAACTCAACGAGTTGTTCCGCGATGTTGCGCATATGGTGCACGAGCAGGGTGCGCAACTCGACATCATCGAGGAGAACGTTGAGGTCACGCATGACGCGTCGCGAGGTGCACATGTGAACCTTAAGCAGGCGAGCAATTACCAGAAGAGCGCGAGGAGTAAGGCGTGTATCCTGCTGCTCATTCTCGCCATTGTCTTGGTCATCATCATTCTTGCGGTCGTTTTGGACTAGATGATACGTACATCGTCTCTGTAATGCTTGGTTTTGCTTGTTTTCGGCGTTGCATTGTACATTTGGGGGGATCTTATACCACGGTGCATTTCATTGCAAATTTCTGTCGTTTTCGAAATGTGTTTTTGCCAACTATGTCTTTTGGCTCTCCATCGTATGCTTTGCAGTGGCTCTTGTGTTAGCCAAGTCATATCTAATCAATGTTCAACATTTCCTCTCACTATCGTGTGTCCTTCCTGTGTTGGTTGCTCGCTCCTTCCCCCACGTGCCTCTCAGGACAGTGCTCGGCTCACTGAGAAGGCGCGCTATAGGAACTTTCTCTCACCTCGCGTCATGCCACATCACTGACTGTCACTTTACGTCTCTGCTTCGACGCCGCTTGCATGTTCCCGAACGCTTCCAACGGCATTCGGGCTGCAGCTGCATCTTCGGATCCGCTGGACTTTACCGACAGTAGCGACCTTGATGACATCGGCGACCTGGATTCCCAAGACTTACTACCGCTGTTAGAACGCACACCTACACCGCCGCCACCACTCATGTCTCGTCACAACCCTTTACAGGTCGATTCCATGAGTGTCAGAACCTATTCCAAGAACAAGGTTGCCCCGCCACTGCACAGGTACATCTTCCCTATTGACATGCAGGGCTTAACTCACATATTCTCAGTGTCGCGGCACAACGAGGCATACCAGTCCATGTCGTCGTCGAAGTTGGCCCAGAACGCAAGGAATACTATGTTCAGAAAGCATTCTTAACACACCACTCCGACTACTTCCGCAAGGCACTCAGTGGTACCTGGAAGGAAGCCAAGGACGGAGTCGTGAGTCTGGACGATATTGAGCCAGGTGTCTTCAACCTATTCCTGGAGTGGATGTACACCCAACAGGTTCCCGTTATTTGGGCCGACTACTCTCGTATCATGAACCGATCGGTCACGCCCTTAGACATCTGCAAGATCAAGCTGTATGTGTTCGCCGATCGGTTTGCAGTGCCTGTTTTACGGACAGCTATGAACCGACAGATAGTCCAGGACTCTGACGCTGGTCCTCCGGTGGAGCTGGGCTACAAATCGATCATATACGCCTTTGAGAATCTTCCACCATCGGACCCACTCCTAGACCTATTCGTGGACCGACATTACGTGGAATGGAGTGGGTACAAGGTTCCGATGCTTCAGCTACCGCATGATTTCTTACTACGTTTCTTCGAGAGGGTAGGTAGCGAGCGGGCCAAAGGCCATACCGTGAAACCGGGCGTCTATCAATTGGACCTTTGCAGTTACCATGAGCATACGACGGATGTGGAGAAGAGCTCTTGTTCTGGCAAGTCAAAGTTGCGCATCGGAAAAGTTGCATTGGAGCGGCCACTCAGGAGCGAAGACCACAAAGGGGCATGCTGAATTACGGGCGGCCAAACCTTCTTCTGCGTCGCTTCTGGCTGGAGAGTATCTGACATTCTGTACGGGTATCTACACAAAATTCTGCAATCAAGCTAGCCATACGCTCTATGCGCTGTTGACAGGCTCGCCCTTCTCATCAATCAAACTCTCTTCAGTCTTGACTGGACCTTCGCCCACACCTGTCAAGATGACTCTGCTAACACCCTCCTCCAAGAATGTGATAGCGGGACCGGCGTCAAATTTGACCTTCTCGAGCGCGTCGGCGTTGGCCTGAACAGCCTGGCCCCTCTCGCCTTGCCAGCCATCCTTCTCGTTCAGGATCTGCTTGAACAGACCAGCAACCTCCTTCTCGTTCTCCTCAAGGTAGTACACAACAGCATTTGGGCCAGCGTCGAAGGTGTACGCAGCGATGATCTTGCCAGCCGCAGCGTTAATGCTCTCAACGACCTTGATAGCCGCCCGGGAAACATCGTTGAGGTAGAAGATCGGAGGGAATGTATCGAGGCAAGTAGCGTGGAAAGAGTTGCTGTCCATCATGGTAAGCTTGCCGAAAGCCTCAAAGTCCTTGTCCTGGATCGCCTTCTGCATCTCCTTCATGCGCTTTGGAACAGTCTCGGTAGCTCTCGACTGGAAGAGACTAGATGTAGCAACAGTGATCTGCATACCAGAGGTACTCGACACACCCTTCTTGGCCGCGCTAACAACCAAGATCACAGCGCGCATGTTGGGCCAGTGGCTCGCAGGCGCAACTTGGAACGCAACACTATCACTGCCATCCGAAGCGGAGCCTTGTTCCCAGCCTACATATCCGCCGAAAAGCGAGCGGCACGCGGAGCCAGAGCCCTGCCTTGCGATACGGGAGAGGTCGGTTGGCGAAGAGGGGAGCTCGTAGAGGTTTGCAATTGCGCGGACAAGAGCAGCGAAACCAGCAGCCGAACTAGCCAGCCCAGCAGCGGTGGGGAAGTTGTTCTCGGAAACGATGCGCAGAGGCAGGTCGGCGAGTTTAGCGAGGCTAGAGTCCTTCTCCTCGAGCTGCTTCCTCAGTGCCCTCAGCTCCCTGAAGCACGCTTGTGTCCTAGCACCAGAAACATCCTGCGATTGGCCGTTGAGGAGGAGTGTGTCTTCTTTTGGGTAGTTGGACGAGCACGAGGCGGTGGTGTGGGTGCGGAGGTCGGACTGCGCGAGGGTGACGCTGAGGGAGGAGTTGGTGGGGAGGTTGAGCTTGGGGTCGCGCTTTCCCCAGTATTTGATCACGGCGATGTTGACCGGGGCGGTGGTGCTGGCGCGGTGGATGTCGGACATTTTGACGTTTGCTATAGGAGAAGGAGGGGAGGGAAAGAAGCAAAACACTGAGGGTAGCGGTGAAAGTCAAGGGGGCTTGGTGGGGTTTAATGTTTATATGCAGGGTCTAGTTGGATGCGGTCTAGAAAGCGCGGATATAGGACAGTGACTCGAGACAGCGAAGTTACTTGCGCGAGGGCAGGTTAGACAGGTTCAATCTTGGAAATTGGCCGTCTACTACAAATTATACTCCGGCTGTGAGAACGCATACACCTTGACGCTGTCCAAAGCGGTGGAATGCGGTAGTTGAAAGCCAGCCAATCAGACGCACCTGATTCCCGCAAAAGCCCGTGCCCAACATTTCTCGATGGCTTCCGTCACCATCCCGAGTTTCTCGGAACCCGACAAATCCAACCTCACACATCTCCACCACAATGTCCTCGCAAGACGACCCAGCAGCCGCCTGCCCTGTCGACCACAAGACACGCGAAGCATGGCTCGCCCAAGCCCGTGCACAAAACGGCACCACACCACCAAATCCCCATAGTACACCCATCCCAACACCCGCCGCCGCCGCGCCAGCACCCTCCCAATCCGCCGTCCAGCAATCCTGCGACTCATCCACGCTCGACCAAAGCACCACCTCCCCACCCCCAAGCAGCACAAGCATCCTCTCGCAAATACGCCTCGGCACCGACCGCGAAGTAAGCACAATACCACGCGCGCTCCCCTCCCAAATCGCAGCACAACCCGCACCCAATGCACGACCAGCAAACAACGAGCGCGACACAGGCTCGGACAAGAAAACCGGAAACTGGATCTACCCGTCCGAGCAAATGTTCTTCGACGCCATGCGCCGCAAATCCTACGACCCGTCCGCCCCAGACATGCGCACCATAGTGCCCATCCACAACGCCGTCAACGAACGCGCGTGGCACGAGATCAAGAGCTGGGAGAGCGGGCGCGGGAGCGAGAAATGCGGCGGGCCTAAATTGGCGAGTTTCTCTGGGTTGAGCACGAGTTTAACGCCGCGGGCACGGTGGAAGAGTCTAATGGGGTATCAGCCGCCGTTTGATAGGCATGATTGGGTGGTGGATCGGTGTGGGGTGAAGGTTGAGTATGTGATTGATTTTTATGCGGGGAGGGATGAGGGGAAGGTGGGGAAGGCACTCAATTTTTATTTGGATGTTAGGCCCAAGTTGAATAGTTGGGAGGGGGTTAAGATGAGGATGGCGAGGTTTTGGGGGTTTTAGGGACGAAGGACGGGGGAGAGATGGGGGTTGTAGGATAGATTTATATATATGTATGATTAGTTGACTTGGAGTGGGGGAGTATAGACAGGATCTTGATGAGTATGGATAGATGTATATATGAACACGAACGGGAATAGAGTAATCTCGCTCAAGAAGGGAATCCTGCGCCTGTAACGCGCAGTCGACGCTACCATACGCCTCTATGCGCCATGCGTCCATCTGAGACTTAATTATATCCCCGGAACAACTCCCTCTAAGAACTTCTCCTCCCACCCTCCGACATCAAGATACGTGCAGCCGAACGTACGACAAAGTCTATCCCTCGTCAAAACCAGAACGCATTCATCCCAACCACCTCCTAACCTAATAAACATCCACGCCCAACTTCCTCAACTTATTACAATTCTTCAACTCCATATTCCGCGCCTTATTCATAGCCTCCTGATCAACACTAAACCACCCCTGCGCCTCTTCCATCGCCCTCCTTTGGCGCACCCTCTCATTCTGACACCTCGTATTCGTAATATGCACATATTGGTTCTCAGCGATATCATCCAACTTGCGCCATTTCTTTGGCGTGTAATCATGCACTTCCTTGGGATCGACGTAGTAATCTATTTTTATCCGCGTGGACACGCGCTTGAGTGTGTTGGGGGAGCGCGGTGTTTCGAAGACGAGATTCGGGCTTGCGGAGGTGGAGGTTGAGCCGGAGAAGAGGGAGGAGAGGAGGGGGAGGACGAAGAGGAAGAGTAGGGGGAGCAGGTTGGCGAAGGCGGAGGAGAGGTTTTGTTGGCCTTCGCTGCCGGGGGGGACGGCGGTGCCGGGGCGTCTGCGCGGACGGCCGCCGCCGAATTGGTGGACGCGGACGCCGGGGCCGCCGCCGAGGTTGAAGACGAAGCCTGGGCCTGTGTCCATGCCGCCTGTGGTGTGTTAGTTTGTTGTCGTCTTCTTATTGTGCAGTATAAACCTCGACTTCTTCAAAGACCGAGGTTTCTGGGCAAAGGAAAACGTACCAAAAGGCCCCCCAAACGCACCCCCAAAGAACTGTCTAAACAACTCTTCAGGCGTCATCTCCTCCTCAAACCCACCCCCTCTTCTCGCAAACCCATTCCCAAACGGACTCGCACCACCCCCTCCATTCGCACTCGCATGCGCCCTCGGATCAAACCGCGCATCTGGATCCCCGCCAAACTGATCGTACTTCTTCTTCTTATCCGGATCACTCAGCACCTGGAACGCCTTGCTGACCAGCTTGAACGCCTCGTCCGCGCCGTCGTACCCGTTCTTGTCCGGATGCGTGAGGAGAGAGAGCTTGCGGTACGCTTTTTTGATGTCCGAGTCTGAACAGCTGGCTTTTACTTCTTCCAGGCCGAGGATCTTGTAGTAGGCGGTTGGCGCGCATGATTTGATGCGTATTACGGCGGCTTTTTGCTCGACCGTGAAGGCTCGGCCGGCGCTGCCGTCGTGGTGGTCTCGCGATTTGGCGTCGGAGCCCGAGGTTTTGCCTGACATTGTGTGGTGTGTGAGAGGCGGTTTGTGGGGTATCGGTGTGTTGTGGTGGGAGATTGTGCTGCCGGGGCAGGCAGCGGTGGGGGTGGGAGGCCGATGCGCAAGTGTGGCCGGCTGGTGATGATGTAGCGGTGATGGCGATGGGTGTGCGTGAATCAAATATCGTCCCGTGACGGGGTTGTGGTTGTGTTAGTCGTTAAAGCGTTATCTGTTGTCTGTCGAAGTTCGCGAGTCCCGGAGGCCAGTTTCCATGTGCTGGGTTGGCACGGGCGGGCGGTCCACTTGCCGGACCAACGTCATGGTCTTCACCCAATCTCAACCCATGTACCCTTCTGCGCGCATTTGTTCCTGAGCACCGGACATATTCACCCATCCGTCAATTCTTTTACGCACTTGAACAGCACACCCAAACTCCACGATGCCTGAACAACCTAAAGCCTCCATGCTGCAATCGCTGAGGAATTGGGGAGGTACGTCTATCCCATCACTTCCTGATTCACCACGTCGCACGTGCCTCACATTGTCTTGTATAACTATCGAGGCAAAGTCGCTAACTCAATCCTTCTTGTACAGAGAATTCCGTACCGCCAACACTCCTCGCCACCCTCATCACAGCCCAACATGCTCGTCCATTCCAGTTCTTCCCCATGACGTTTACCCCCGTCTTGCTCTTCTCCTCCTACCTGAACTTGAGCAACTACAAGACCGATGCTGCCGGTATCACGGCTGCATGGAGTGGCTTGTATGCATTGCTTGCTATGCGGAGAAGTCAGGTATGTTTGAACTGTTCCTTCACGTCGAAGACTTCTTTCAACCGACTACATTGAGAGTGGCAAAATCTAACC